ATATTTATTTAGTGACTACATATAATATTATATAATTTTTTAAACGAGACTTTTACAATATACGTTTCTCCCATATACCAAAGACATTATAGTTTCATTTAATACACACTTACACACATATATTTATATACATGTTACTTGTCAACGTTAAGGCAGTGTTCAGTTAAGCAAGATGGAACGAACTAATGGAGGAAATGCAGGAAATACAGAAATTGGAACTAATGAATTCCTGTATTTCCTGCATTTCCTNCATTAGTTCGTTCCATCTTGCTTAACTGAACACAGCCTAAGTATTTAGCAAATGGCCAATAGTTTTACGTTTTGAGAAGAAAATAATAAAGAAGAATAGTTACATTATCGACACGACGTAGTTGTGGACTACTACTTAGTTCGTACGGCGCCCGTTGGCGCTACGAGCAACCCCCCCGCTTGCCCTCCGATCCCCGCGCGTTTTACGCGATTCAGTGACGCGTTGTGTACAATAGACGAGTAATATAAATATTGATTGACCGGCCCAGCCCTGTGTTCAGTTAAGCAAAATGGAACGAACTAATGGAGGAAATGCAGGAAATACAGGAATTCATTAGTTCCAATTCCTGTATTTCCTGCATTTCCTCCATTAGTTCGTTCCATCTTGCTTAACTGAACACAGCCCAGTGGTCTCGCGGCCTGAGTGCAGGGTCTGCGAACCCGGAGGTGTCTCGAGTTCGAATCCGCTCACCACATTAAGAATTTTTTCCGGGCCGGTCCCCTTCAACCGAGTTTGGTTGATCGAGCGAGAACTGAATCGAGCCTCCAAAAATTAATTCTGCTCTCGTTGCTGGTCCTGCACGATCTGGCTGGCATCTATGCATTGGTATCAAAAGAAATGAATGAAGATCTCTGAAAGAGATATTAATTTGGAAAAATTAAATTATACGAATGGTAAGAAACAAATATTAAATGCCAATTCTGCTAATAATGCTATACAAGAAAGTAGTCAACAAAAAAACAAAAAGCGAAAAAGACAAGAAAAAGAAAGTTTTTCTACAAGTAATTACACAGGTACATTACTTGTAGAATTTCTACAAGTAGAATTACCTGTGTAATCACTGTAGAAAAACTTTTTTTTGCGTTGTTTTGCGTTAACTATTTTTTATTTTGACAAAATTGTTTTTTCTTTTTTTTTGTTTATCACGGAAAGTAAAGTTTTGCTGGGTCTACTTGTTAGTTTCACTACAAATCTTTTTGTTAATTTAATAGGCCCAGACAATTCTTTCTTTCAAAATTTTTTTCGTAACGAAAACTTAACAAAATAGTTATGTATACGTAGATTAGGATAATAATGTACAAAAGTAACGTACAAAATTTACTTGGTGCTACTTTGTGATATCACTTTTTTTGTAAAATTGGTTTTTAGAGAAAGAATGTTTTGTAGTATATAAATGTTGTAAAACAGGTTTTATAGAGAAAGAAGTTTTTGGAGTATAAATAAAAAAATAATTTA